CGTGCCCCGCCCCGTGACGGCCGCCCCGCGTCCCCCAGTCCCCGACGTCAGCCGCAACGGGGACCCCTTTGTGGCCACGTCCATCGTGGAGGCCATCGCGACCGTGGACAGAGCCATCAACTCCACCCGGACGCACCTGTTCCACAGGTAGGCGAGGCCCGTGGCCGCCCGCTGCCCTGGGCCCTGGTCCGCCTGGCGCGGGGGGCGCCCAGGCTGGGGGTGCCCCCGCGCAGACCGGGGCGCAAGTTGAGTCTTTGCTTTCATTTGCTTGTTGCTGCCGCCGGAGGACCCAGGTACGCCCCCCCCACCCCCCCGCGTGGCGCCCCAGCGCGGCTGTGTGGGCGCCGCCCTCAGCTGCCGCCCTGTGCCCCGCAGCCGGCCGCGCTCCCCCAACGACCTGCTGGCCCTGTTCCGGTACCCGCGGGACCCCTACACGGTGGAGCAGGCGCGTGCCGGCGAGATCTTCGAGCGGACGCTGCAGCTGATCCAGGAGCACGTGCAGCACGGCCTCATGGTGGACCTCAACGGGACCGGTCAGCACCCGTGGGGCCATCTGGGGAGCGGCCAGGGCTCGTGGGGGGCTGCCTAGGCTTGGGGACCCCACCCCGCCCGCAGCGGGCTCCCAGAGTGCGGGGGTGCGGGATGCATCGTGCACCGTGAGCCTGCTGGCTGAGTGTGAGCTCCTCACCAGGGGTCTTCGCTCACATGTGCCTGCGGCTGACGCCTGCACACATACTTGCGAGCACACCTGCACGTACCTGCACACACCTGCACGCACACCTGCACACACGCCTATGCACAACCTGCACACATACCTGCGCACACGCCTGCACATGTCTACATGCACACCTGCACACGTCTATGTGCACACCTGCACACACGCCTATGTGCACACCTGCACACACGCCTGTGCGCATACCTGTGCGCACAACTGCACAAACACCTGCACAAACCCCTGCGCACACACCTGCACACATGCATGCATGCACGCACACCTGCACACACGCCCACGTGCACACCTGTGTGCACAGCTGTACACACATACCTGCACGCACACCTGCACACACGCCCACGCGCACACCTGTGTGCACAGCTGTACACACGTACCTGCACGCACACCTGCGCACACACCTACACACACCTGCGTGCACCACTGCACACACGTACCTGCACACACCTGCACGCACACCTGCGCACACACCTGCGTGCACAACTGCACACACGTACCTGCACGCACCTGCACGCACACCTATGCACACACGCCTGCACGCACCTGGCAGAGTCGCTGTCCCTGAGGCAGAATCTCTCTGGCCGACGAGCTCGTGGGGGTCAGCGTCCGCTTTCCAGCCCGGGTCCCCCGTCGGGACGAGGCTGTCGCCCGGTCTCGCGCCCGGGCCCCGCGCAGGCCGCGGCTGGGG